GGAAACACAGTCAGTAGGTCCGATGTTAGTCAGTGAGGAGGAGGAGTCAAGGATGAAGACGGCCAATGATCACGGAGCTCCTGTTCCTGTTTCACCACAGTGACCTGAAGTCCGTTTCTTGTTGTTCCCTTTTTTGGGCTGATCAGTCACATGACCAGTGCAGTAATCAACCAGGCCAGAAGCAGTAGTTGACCACCAGAGGGCGTTTATGTGTTTGTCTAAATAGCTATGGTTCAAAAGCTATGGTGTTTGTACCAGTGGTGGTAATTAGACTCCCTCAAGTGGTACAGTTGTCAAACTGTCACAAGTTCAGACTAAATGACCAAAGGTCACTGACCCCGGGTCTGACCGTACCAGTTGAACCAGGAGGTCAGGTCTGGGTCTATGGTCTGGACAGTGTTCAGATTTAACCACTAAATGACCAACCTGACCCTCAGTGACATCATCGATCACCTCTGAATATTTCCCACCAGTCAGTGAGCTGTGAGACATGACGTCGTGGAAGTGGAACGTCAACAGAGACCGTCTGAACGACCGAGGTCTCCCGCAGAGAACGGATCAATTCCTCAGTCGTAACTCAAGACCAAACGTTCCCCAGGCAGCTGAGTGAGCGAGCGTGGATCCATGAAAGACGCCGAGAAAGAAAAAAGGACGAAGACTAAACAGGAGCAGACCTGACGAGGAGCGACGAGTCCAAACACGCGGCTCACAGGCCACAGCTCTGACACAACTGTGAGATTTTTTTTTTGGTTCTAAGACAAATGCAGCACCGTGGTGATCAATATAAGGTGTCAGGTTTTCCTCTGTGACGGATCAGTTCTACAGAGGCCCGTCTTCTCCGACACCAGGAAATCTTTTCTGTTTCTACAGCAGGGTTCACGACCCAACCTTTAGAACAACAGCCGAGCTGAAGTCAGTTGTGAAGGAAGAGGGAAGAAGAAGAAGAAGAAAAAGAAAAAGGTTTTAAATGAAGAACACTTGGTCTTTACAGGCGGAGGCACGCAGGGGAACGTCAGTGGCGGCGGTGAAGGCGGCGACGATGGAGGCGAAGACGACGTTTGGGTGCTGGGCGGCGTCAACTGCTCTGTGGAGGCCCTTAGCTGAGTAGTAGTCCACCAGGGGGCGCGTCTGACGGTGGTAGGCGTCCAGACGCGAACGCAGCGCCGTTTCGTTGTCGTCGCTGCGGCGCATGAGCGGCTCACCTGTCACCTGTGGACAGGAAAGGAATCACAGACGTCAGAGTTTGTGGAACATGGAGATGTGTGTTATAAAAATATAATATAAATATTTACCACATAAAAATGAGGGTTAAAAGATAAAAACTACAGAGAGCTGAGGCCTTACTCGGGGTCAGGACGACCCCCTCCACCTTCTATCTCCCGGACAACAAGCTGTACTTTTCCAAAGTGGTGCGGTTCAGTATAATTGCGTGCGGTAATTGAAGGACATGGTGAGAGCTGACCACTTCCTGTGGGACATTTATTTATCTGGGCGGCTGAGCTCATCGCTGCACCTCTGACAAGGTGACGTTCGATTCCTTTTAAACCACGGCGGATCGGTGCTACACTGCATTTGTGCGTCTGATGTGGAAGTACTCACGTCATCCTTCATGGGCTCCTTGGGGGGGTTGAACTCCTCGTGGTACGAGCGTCCGCTGCGCTGATGAATTAGTCTGAGGAAATTGAAGGGAAATGGGCGAAGAGAGGGGGGGGGGGGGGGAGGACAGATGAGGGTTAGACGGACTCAGTGACTCACTAACTGCTTCACTGTCCTCTTCATGTTGCCCTTGTCCTTGATGCCCTCCCCCCTCACCCCCCCCACCTCCCACGGCCCAGTGACAGTGGTAGGATTTATATTTATTACATCACACGGTCGGACGACGGCTACTGAAGAAAAAAAAAAAAAAACCCATCTCAGACTCTGAGATTATAATCAGGGATTGTTTTAATCCCTCGGGTTCTTACCGGCCACAGATCCTGCGGACCAACAGAGAGTCGTCCACAGAGAACTCGATCACAGAGTCCAGCTTCTCCTCCCTCTTGTCCAACAGGTCGTCCAGCTGGAAGAGACACAAAGTTCTAGTTCTGTGTGGCTCAGACAAGACCGACCGCTAACGCTGTA